GCTCACAGAAGGTGAGCCAAAGCAGGGTGGAACATCACCTCACCTGGAAAGCACAAGGGGTTGAGTAACTCCCTCTTCTAGCCAAGGGAAGCCACAAGGGACTGTGTCTTGAGAAACATTGCATTCTGGCCTAGATACTATGCTTTTTCCACAGTATTCACAACCCATAGACCAGGAGATTCCCTAGGTGCCTATACCGCCAGGGCCCTAGGTTTCAAGCACAAAACTGAGTAGCCATTTGGGCAAACACAAAGCTAGCTGCAGGAGATTTTTTTTCATACCCCAGTGGTGCTTGGAATGCCAGTGAGACAGAACCATTCCCTCCCCTGGAAAAGGGGCTGAAGACAGGGAACCAAGTGGTCTAGCTCAGCAGATCCCACCCCTATAGAGCCCAGCATGCTAAGATCCACTGTCTTGAAATTCTTGCTGCCAGCACAGCAGTCTGAAGTTGACCTGGGATGCTCAAGCTTGATGGGGGGAGGGATGTAGCCATTACTGAGGCTTGAGTAGGTGGTTTTCCCCTCACAGTGTAAACAAAGTCACCAGGAAGTTTGAAATGGGCAGAGCCCACCACAGCACTGCAAAGCTGCTGTAGCAAGGCTGCCTCTCTAGATTCCTTCTCTCTGGGCAGGGCATCTCTGAAAGGCAGAAGTCCCAGTCAGGAGCTTATAGATAAAACTCCCAACTCCCTGGGAGTTGGAAGCACCTGGGGGAAGTGGCAGTTTTGGGCACAGCTTCACAGACTTAAATGTTCCTGCCTGCCAGTTCTGAAGAGAGCAGAGGATCTCCCAGCATATTGCTCGAGTTCTGCTAAGGGACAGACTGCCTCCTCAAATGGGTCCCTGACCCCTGTGCCTCCTGACTGGGAGATACCTCCCAGCAGGTGTCAACAGACACCTACCTACCTACAGGAGAGCTCTGGCTGGTATCTGGTGGGTGGCCCTCGGACAAAGTTTTCAGAGGAAGGAACAGGCAGCAATCTTTGCTGTTCTGCAGGCTCTGTTGGTGATACCCAAGCACAAAAGGTCTGGAATGGACCTCCAGCAAACTTGAGCAGACCTGTAGCAGAGGGGCCTGTTAGAAGGAAAACTAACAAACAGAAAGGAATAACATCAACATCAACAAAACAGACATCCACACATAAACCACATTAGAAGGTCATCACATCAAAGACCAAAGGTAGATAAATCTGGGAAGATGAGAAAAAATCAGAGCAAAAAGGCTGAAAATTCCAAAAACCAGCATGCCTCTTCTCCTCCAAAAGTTCACAACTCCTTGTCAGCAAGGGAACAAAACTGGGTGGAGAATGAGTTTGATGAACTGACAGGAGTAGGCTTCAGAAGGTGGGTAATAACAAACTCTTCCAAGCTAAGGGAGCATGTTCTAACCCAATGCAAGGAACCTAAGAACTTTGAAGAAAGGTCAGATGAATTGCTCATTAGAATAAACAGTTTAGAGAAGGACATATATGGCCTGACACAACTGAAAAACACAGCATGAGAACTTCTTGAAGCATACACAATTATCAATTGCTGAATCAATCAAGTGGAAGAGTGGAAGAAAGGATATCAGACATTGAAGATCAACTTAAGGAAATAAAGCATGAAGACAAGATTAGAGATAAAGAATGAAAAGGAACAAACAAAGCCTCCAGGAAATATGGGACTATGTGAAAAGACCAAACCTACATTTGATTGGTGTACCTGAAAGTGACGGGGAGAATGGAGCCAATTTGAAAAACACTCTTCAGGATATTATCCAGGAGAACATCCCCAAACTAGCTAGACAGGCCAACATTCAAATTCAGGAAATACAGAGAACACCAGCAAGATACCCCTCAAGAAAAGCAACCCCAAGACACATAATCATCAGATTCGCCAAGGTTGAAATGAAGGAAAAAACGTTAAGAGAAGATGGAGAGAAAGGTCGGGTTACTCACAAAGGAAAGCCCATCAGACTCACAGCAGATCTCTTGGCAGAAACTCTACAAGGCAGAAGAAAGTAGGGGCCAATATTCAACATTCTTAAAGAAACTTATTTTCAACCAGAAATTCATATCTAGCCAAACTAAGCTTTGTAAGTGAAGCAGAAATAAAATTATTTACTGACAAGCAAATGCTGAGAGATTTTGTCACCACCAGGCCTGCTTTACAAGAACTCCTGAAGGAAACACTAAATATGGAAAGGAAAAACCAGTACCAGCCACTGCAAAAACATACCAAATTGTAAAGACCATCAACACTATGAAGAAACTGCATCAACTAGCGGGCAATATAACCAGCTAACATCATAATGACAGGATCAAATCTACACATAACAATATTAACCTTAAATGTAAATGGTATACATGCACCAATTAAAAGACACAGACTGGAAAATTGGATAGAGTCAAGACCAATCGGTGTGCTGTATTCAGGAGACCCATTTCACATGCAAAGACACACACAGCCTCAAAATAAAGGGATGCAGGAATATTTACCAAATAAATGTAAAACAAAGAAAAAAAGCAGGGGTTGTAATCCTAGTCTCTGATAAAACAAACATTAAACCAACAGAGATCAAAAAAGACAAAGAAGGGCATTATTACATAATGATAAAGGGATCAACGCAAGACGAAGAGATAACTATCCTAAATATATATGCACCCAGTAGAAGAGCACCCAGATTCGAAGTAAGTTCTTAGAGACCTACAAAGAGACTTAGACTCCCACACAATAAAACTGGGAGACTTTAAAACCCCACTGTCAATATTAGATCAACAAGACAGCAAATTAACAAGAATATTCAGGACTTGAACTCAGCTCTGGACCAAGTGGACCTAATAGATATCTACAGAACTCTTCACCCCAAATCAACAGAATACACATTTTTCTCAGTACCACATTGCACTTATTCTAAAATTGACCACATAATTGGAAGTGAAACACTCCTCAGAAAATGCAAAAGAACAGAAATAATACCAACAGTCTCTCAGACCACAGTGCAATCAAATTAGAACTCAAGATAAATAACATAGTACCTCATATAGATGTCTGGGGGTGGAGTGGATGAGCAGTTTCAAATAACTTCTAAAATCATGCAGGAAGACAATTCTTTCTAAGGCAGAGGTTCTCAACCTTGATAAATCTTAGAATTATCAGAAGACATTTAAAAAATATTGACGCATGGAGGCCACCATGTGATTCTGTCAGGGGCGTTTGAACTAGAGCAACTCCATCTTGAACAGGGGCTGGGTAAAATAAGGCTGAGACATATTGGGCTGCGTTCCCAGGAGGTTAGGCATTCCAAGTCACAGGTTGGAGGTTGGCACAAGATACAGGTCACAAAGACCTCCTGATAAAACAGGATGGGGTAAAGAATCTGATGTAAACCCACCAAAACCAAGATGATGACGGAAGTGACCTCTGGTCATCCTTATTGCTCATTAAATGCTAATTATAATTCATTGGCATGCTAAAAGACACTCCTACCAGTGCCAATATAAGGAAGTTACCCTATATGGTCTAAAAAGAAGGAGGAACCCTAAATTCTGGGACTTGCCCACCCCTTTCCCAGAAAACTTATGAATGATCTACCCCTTGTTTAGCATGTAAGCAAGAAATAGCCATAAAAATAGCCAATGAGTAGCTCATGCTGCTGCTCTGCCTATGGAGTAGCCATTCCTTTGTTTCTTTACTTCTCTAATAAACTTGCTTTCACTTTATGAATTCACCTTGAATTCTTTCTTGTGCAAGATCCAAGAACCCTCCCTTGGGCTCTGGATTGGGACCCCTTTCCGGTAACATCTTCCAACGTGCAGTTAAGGTTGGAAAACATTGCTCTTAGTTTGTCCGCACAGTAATAGCACTATTCTTATGTAATTGCTTTGCTATTACACCTAAGTGACTTCAAATAAAGTGAGGTTTGGGGCATCAGGTAGGTGTGAGGAATTAAGGATAGCACAGGTAAGACAACTCTCCATGTTATTAGGAATGAGATGACTCTAACAGTAACAACAATTACCATAATTTCAGGATAGATTTCTGGATTCCTGCAGAAACATTGTAAGTCTTGCTAGAGAGAAATCTGCCTTTAGAGCATTGGCCAACAATCTTTCCCCTCTTGCTGAGGTGGGAGTTTAGCTGGTACCCACTTAATGCCAACTGGATTGAAGCCAATAAGAAAAACAGCTGTATTTAAATCCAGTTTCACATGCAAGAGTCTCCAAGTTGTAAACTAAGCTATTACCTTCATGGTAGCTATTTTTGAAAATGTACACAGTTGATAGTTTAGCAATAAATAATACAACACATTTACTTAAGAGCAGATATGACACTTCAATCCTAATCTGTGAAAGCTCCCAACCAGGAGAACATGTATAAATTCTCATATACTACAGAAGTATTCAATTTGTAGAACTGCAAAAAAACTAGCATATGACATTCAAATTAATTCAATTTAAAATGATTCTAGATCAAGAGCACTAATTTTCAGTTACATTCTAGAGCTAAGCCTGCAGTAGAAAATTATTATATAATCTTTAATAAACTCTAAATAGAAACTAATTGAAACTTCTTTACTTAACTACTGTCAACCTGTCAAGTGTGGAAATGGCAGCATGCTACTATATTTAGCAGCTCTCTCCTGGTCAGTCAGATCAGAGTGACTCAGTGAAGAACCCACAGAAATTAGTTTTGTATGGTTTGATAAAAGCAAAACAGCTTTCTACACTAATGACAAATTAGTGATAATTTTATAATGCATAATTTATAATTTCTTTGCAGGAATCATAAGTCAGACAATACAAATTCTTTGCTATTTAAATGCTCACTTGAAAACTTAAATTTTCTCCTGATCCTTTCTAACTCCAAAACTAGGCTAATTTGGAATATCAGCAACATTTTACAAAATGTGATTTAGTTAATCACATGTTCCTTAAGATTTTTATGACAAATCTTTAGCAAGAATATAACCCCTTAGCAAAACAAATATACCTGTCTTACCAAAACAAACAAACTTACCTCTTGGGAAGAAATGATTAAAAATTACTGTCTCCATCAAATAGGAAGAACTACATAAGGTTTCAGTTCTGGAGGCAAGGACTGGAGACTTGTTCAAACTAACGCAAGAGTCAAATGGCTGTCCCTAATCTTTAAAGGGAAACCAGAAAACTCTGCACTACTGTGTATTGCTTCCGGGTACCTCCCTTTGTTCTAAGTAGAATGCTAACGCTAAAATTGCAGTTTGCATTCCTGCTTACTCAGAACACTGATGCAGTCTGACAAAGCTTCCAGCTTAAATATCCTGAGTGGGGGAAATAGTCCCAGAAGGTGGTATTTCCCTTGTGGGCTAGTAAAACAAGCAACACGAATGTGTAAATTTGAACAGCTGGAAGTTTGTGATCACATTAATGTTACCTGATCTAATTTGTAACATATATTAGAGACATTGAGGAAAGAAATGTTTCACTTCTTGTGAATGTCCATTAAGGAAGTCAAGAGTGTGTCTGAATGTTTTCACCTCTTACTTTTCCTTAGTGTGCAAAATTTTCATTGGTGTACATGAAAACAGCTAGTATAAAAAGAGAAGGAAATTCCTTAGGGCAGTGAAATATAGATTAAAACTAGTATAATGGGATGAAAAATATGAAAAAGTGATTGTACAAAGGAAATATAAAGCAGGGATTGCTATGTAAACTCAAATTTTTAAAAACAAATTTAAGGTGTTTTATGTGCTATCTCATCCTTTCTCCTAGGGTCAAATGATGAAGTTCATTTTCTTCTTTTTATATATGATAATTGGATAACAGAATACATAATTCAATAACTGGGAAAAAAGTATTCTGGAGCAAGTGATCAAGTGATCACACATTTAATTTACTATAAGACTCTAGATATTTACTGATATATACAAGATTGGAAAGCATATCAATAATATGTCAGTCACTTCATGATATAGTTTGGCTGTGTCCCCACCTGAACCTGATCTTGAATTGTAGTTCCCATAAACTCCACATGTCATGGGAGGGACCTGGTGGGAAGTAATTGAATCATGGTGTATGTTACCTCCATGTTGTTTTTGTGATATTGAGTGAGTTCTCAGGAGATGGTTTTATATGGGGATTTTCCCCTTTTTGCTTGGCACTTCTTACTGCTGCCATGTGAAGAAGGACATGTTTGCTTCCCCTTCCACCATGATTATAAGTTTCCTGAGGTTTCCCCAGCCATGTGAAACTGTGGGTTAATTAAACTTGTTTCCTTTATAAATTACTCAGTGTCAGGTATGTCTTTATTAACAGCATGAGAATGAACTAATACAGTAAATTGGTACCACGAGGGGGTGCTGCTATAAGGATACCTGAAAATGTGGTAGCAACTTTGGAAATAGGTAGCAGGCAGAGGATAAAACAGTTTGGAGGGCTCAGAAGAAGACAGGCAAATGTGGGAAAGTTTGAAACTTCCTAGAGACTTGTTGAATGGCTTTGGCAAAATGCTGATAGTGATATAAACAATTAAATAAGGCTGAGGGGGTTTCCAATGGGGATGAGGAACTTGTTGGGACCTAGAGTAAAGGTCACTCTTGCTGTTTTAGCAAAGAGACTGGTAGCATTTTGTTTCTGCCCTAGAGATCTGTGAAACTTTGAACTTGAGAGAGATGATTTAGGATATCTAGTGGAAGAAATTTCTAAGTGGCACGTTCAAGGGAAAGCAGAACATGAAAGTTTGGAAAATTAGCAGCCTAATGATGCAATAGAAAAGAAAAACCCATTTTCTGGGGAGGTATTCAACCCAGCTGCAGAAATTTCACAAGTAACAAGGAGCCCAATGTTAATCACCAAGACAATGGGGAAAATGTCAGAGATCTTTGTAGCAGTCCCTTCCAACACAGACACAGAGGCCTAGTAGGAAAAAATGGTTTAGTGTGCCAGGCCCAGGCCCCTCTGCTGTGTGCAGCCTTGGGACATGGTGCCCTGCATCCCATCTGTTCTAGTCATGGCTAAAAGGGGCCACAGTACAGCTCTGGCCTTGACTTCAGAAGACGCAAGCCCCAGGCCTTGGCAGTTTCCATGTGGTGTTGAGCCTGTGGGTGCACAGAAGTCAACAATTGACATTTGGGAAACTCCATGTAGATTTCAGAGGATATTTGGAGTCACCTAGATGTCCAGGAAGAAGTTTGCTGCTGGGCAGAACATGGAAAACCTCTGTTAGGGCAGTGTGGAAGGGAAATGTGGGCTTGGGGGCACTACGTAGTAGAGCTATGAGAAGAGGGCCACTGTACTCCAGATCCCAGAATTGTAGATCCACTGACAGCTTGTACTGTGTGCCTGGAAAAGCCACAGACAACACCAGCCTATGAAAGCAGCTAGGAGGGAGCTGTCCCATGCAAAGCCACAGAGGCAGAGCCGCCCAGGGTCATGGGAGATTACCTCTTGCATCAACATGACCTGGATGTGAGACATGAAGTCAAAGGGAGAACATTCTGTAACTTTAAGGTTTAATGACTGCCATATTGGATTTCAGGCTTGCATGAGGCCTGTAACCCCTTTGTTTTGGCCAATTTCTCCCATTTGGAATGGGTCTATTTGCCTAATACCTGTACCCTCATTGTATCTGGGAAGTAACTAACTTGCTTTTGATTTTGCAGGCTCATAGGCAGAAGGGACTTGCCTTGTCTTAGTTGAGACTTCGGACTTGGACTTTTGGGTTAACGCTGGAGTGAGTAAAGACTAGGGGACTGTTGGAAAGGCATGATTATGTTTTGAGATGTGAGGACATGAGACTTGGGTGGGGTCAGGGGCAGAATGATAGGGTTTGGCTCTGTGTCCCCCACTCAAATCCTATCTTGAATTGTAGTTCCCATAATCTCAACATGTCGTGGGAGTTACATGGTAGGAGGTAATTGAATCATGGAACCGGTTATCTCCATGCTGTTCTCATGATAGTGAGAGTGTTCTCACGAGATCTGATGATTTTTAAAAGATCTTTCCTGGCTTTTGCTCTGCACCACTGCTTGCTGCTACCATGTGAAGAAGGATGTGTTTGCTTCCTCTTCCACCATGATTATAAGTTTCCTGATGCCTCCCCAGCCATGCGGAACTGTGAGTCAATTAAACCTCTTTCCTTTATAAATTACCCAGGCTTAGATATGTTTTTATTAGTAGTGTGAGAACAGACTATTACACCTCACCTAATGCATTACTTTGTTATTATTTCAGCAAGGAAAATCAGATTGTCTTTGGTCTTTTCCAATAAGAAAAATAAGTGTTTAGGTATTGTCAGTATGTGGAATGTTTTCAGCACTATTGAGCTTAATTAACTTTCATTTTTAAGTTTCTAGCTGTATGTCAGGATGCAAATTTATGAATGACAAGAATTTTGTGTAATTAACTTAGCTAAGCTACTAAATCTGTTCTTTTTGTACTTCTTTATGGAAAGTGAAGTTCAGATGATTGGTAAGTTTTCTAGACAAACTTCAGTGATGATTGGTGGTGACAACTAAACAATAGATGCTGAATTTAAAAGCTTTGGTTCCAAAAATGTGGCATAAAGATAAGAAATACCAGACTGGGAAATACTGTGAGGAAATTATATAATGGACTAATTAAACATCTATACATAATTTTAATATAATTGTATAAAACATTATCGATCTAGCTCAGGGTGTTGTTGGAAACTGAAAAATAAGCCTCTGTCTGGAACATTGTTTCAAAAGTCTTTGGCTGAACCTCATGACACAGCTACTTCACTTCAAAAAGAAGGAGGAGAAAACACTCTAGCTGCTAGAGAAGAATCACTGTAGTCCCCACAAAACATTTCCAACTTAGCGCAGAGGGTAGAGAGGACTATCTATTCTTTTCCAACTCCGTCATTTTTCTTCCTCTGCTTTCTACATAAACCCAAAAGATGGCTCTGGCTCTGGGATTTTATGCTTTTCCCCATGAATAAAGTTTCCTTTTTCCTGTTATGAAGAGGGAGGAAAGCGACTTCTTTACTGTTAATTAGAAAAGCAAGGTTGCCTAGGTAACAGATCTTCCATAAACAGGTCAAGAGAAAGATTTCTAAAGAGCTAAAATTTACATGATGCCATGAAAATTACAAAAGCTCTTAAATGCTCAAGGATAGGTTGGAGTTTTGGCATAGTAATGGTTAAAAACTCAGAATTAGATAGACTGAGTTTTAATCTAAATTTCTAATTACCAACTGGGTAATTAGAAAAACAGTCTTTTAAATTAAGACAGTCTCTTAACTTTCCTCATTTCAGAAGAGGAAATTATAATAATTGTAGTGAGCAATAAGTGAACTGTCTTGTGTAAAACATTTAAAAAATACCTAACATTTAATATACACTAAAACATGATAGACTTATTTTTACTTTCATAATTTAATGCATGGAGGAAAACAGCTATAACATGATAATAATTAGACAGTGCATACCCCTTCTAAAGTGGGTAGCTGTAAATCAACACCATCTGATTGGTGAATTCTGGCTCTTTTTGCACTTATGCATTCACTAATGTTCTAAATCATTTAACAAATTTTTTTGTGCACTCATTATGAGTTGGGAACTGTGTTACATACTTGAGGTAAATCTATAAAAACTTCAAACAAGTCCAGTCTCAATGATCTTAAATCCCAGTAATATGCACTGCTTTGTGTCGTTATTATATTTTTATGCAAATGCAATAATTATATTTAAGGTTTCTCAGGGACAAGGGCCATATATAAAAAATTTTCATAATCCTCACAATTAAATGCATTAAGTATTTCTTGACAATCTGTTGTGGATCATAAATATTCTACAAATATATAAATGTTAATACAAATAATGGCCCATCATTTGAAGAGGCATAATTTTTTCTTATTTAAAATTATACGAAAAATGGTCAAAGTATCTACTGTAATAAAAGTAAAAGAGAGAAAGCAATATTATGGAAGTAAAAAAATATAAAGAATTTTTAGAAAACAAATATAAATTGACAACTATTAAATATTAAATATTATTAATTTAATAAATAAAGGAATTGTAGGAGGTAAATGATAAAAATTTCCAAGCTGTACTTCAAATAGGTTAAAAACAAATATTTGCAAATTCATCCTACAAGCATATCACTCAGATATACAAACTAATAAGGTCTGCAAGTTATCTTTCTATGCTGATTATAAAAATTAACCATACATGATTTTTAAAGTCAATATTTGTC